TTTTTTTTTTTTTTTTTTTTTGGTACCAGGGATTGAACTCGGGTCCTTGTGTTTGCAAGGCAGGCGGTGAAACCACTGAGCTAAATCCCCAGCCCATGTATAAAAAAATCCTTATCATGCACAAATGGTGTGACATTCTCATTTAAGATTATATAGTTTGAGGAATGGGGATTTAGCTCAGTGGTTCCACTGCCTCCCGGGCAAGCACAAGGTCCCGAGTTTGATCCCCGGTACAAATAAAAAAGTGTATAACTTGAAATCTTAAACAAAATTGTATTTTATATCTTCCATATAATATCACATACAAACACCAAAAGTATATCTTTTGAACTTCAGATTATCAATCCATCAAATTATCAATTATTGATCCTATCAGTATTAGAGTGCTTAATTTTTTTTTTTTGGTAAATGTATAAATGCTTTTGTCCTTAACTTTCTGTTTAAAAGAAAATTATTATTATTATTATTAGTAGTAGTAGTAGTAGTAGTAGTGCTTAACTTCCTAAGTCCCATATTCAGAAACTTGGCCTATAAGTTTATTTTGTTTTTTTGTACCAGGGATCGAGCTCAGGACCTTGACCTTGCAAGGAAGGCGGCAGAGCCACTGAGGTACATCCCCAGCCCTTGGCGTATAAATTTAGAAAGAACTTTTGTTTTCTTTTTTTTTGTTCTTGAAAATAATCCAGTCTACTCGTAATGGAACTTATATTGTTTACAAAATGGTTACCAGAACCTATCAGTTTAATTGAAAATCTGCAGAATTGTTTGTTGCCAAAATATGGAACCCTTCATACTGAAAGACACTTTATTTTACAGTCACAATAAAAAGTTTGAATCATTTAGAGAATTGATTTTCAAAACACGAAGCCCTTCTGTCATTACCTGGAGGTGTATCATTTTCAGGGTCTGGACCTGCTCTGATATGGTCCTCTGCACAAGCAGTTTTGGAGGGGTAGTTCCTTTTCGGCTAATGATCTGTACCTATCGTTTCATGTTACTTACACAAAGAATCTTATTTCAGATGCAAACTGGAACTCCTCGTTTCTCATATTAGCTATTGCTCTGTTTGGAGCACTGAACCTATGGTAAATGCAGGGTGAACTGCTTTAGTCCCATCTGTTTGAAATTCATGTTGTCTGTGTATTATGATTTATTGTCTTGTTGATGGGTGTGAACTGGGTGCATTTTGTTGCTGCTGTATGTTAAATGGTGACCCGCGATTTCACAAAATAATTGAACAAAAAATATCTCTTAAGAAAAAAATAAAAATGTGACACAGATCTCAGGCCATGAAACATGGCAAGGGGACAGGTCACATGACCAGCACCAAACTTTAAAAATAAATTTCTTTTCTAGTACAGGACTGGGGACTGAATCCAGGGCATTGTCATGGAGCTACATTCCCAGCCCTTTTTGAATTTTTATTTTGAGACAGTGTCTCACTGCATCACTAAATGGCCTAGGCTGGGCTCAGATTTGTGACCCTCTTGCCTCAGCCTCCCCGAGTGCTGGGACAACACGCGTGTGCCACCACGCCCAGGTGCAGAAGTTTTGGTGCTCTAGGATAAACTCTGGATAAATTCCTCCCTCCCCGCCTCTGTCAGCCTCCATTCCTCTGGATTGGTCCACGTAGCCCTCAGCATTTTGCTACCACTAAGATCTTAAATTGGTAACCAGTGTACTGAGACCTTTTGTTCACGAAGTCATTTTTTGCCTATGAATTACAAAGACATTCTATACTTTCTTCTATTTAATGTTTTCTTGTATTACTTTTAGGTTACATTCCAGCTAGAGTCCACCTTTGGGTATGGTTTGACATGGATCATTTTATTTTCCTCCTATAGATATCATCATTCCCCCAGCACTGGGTATTAAATAACTTGGCCTTTCCTTTGTGAAGCTGCTTTGCCTGTGCTTTTTTTTTTTTTTTTTTCAAGTACTGGGGATCGAACTCAGGTCCTTGCACTTGCAAGGCAGGCAGCGGAACCACTGAGCTAAATCTTCATCCCTGCCTGTGCATTTGGATCCCATGTATCCACCATGCCATGCCACACAATGGCATGTGGGCAGTAGCATTGCCCGGGAGTAGTATATGTGCAGCAGGAGACTGACTTCCCTCTGTGAAGGGCTGAGGGGTGGGCAGGAGGGGCCACCTTCCCTTCCATAGAGGACTGGAGCGGCTCTGATGCTGGCTGCTGGCAGTCACATCCCTGGTTGTGAAAGGCAGCTGAGCGCAGAGTGTGTTTGGTTCCCAGGAAACCTGTGTTTGGGTCTTTTGAAATGTTGGTTGGCAGACACATGGGGCTCCTCTATTCGCTCTATTCTCACTCTGTTCTGTGGCTTTCTAATGATATTGCCTTCAAGAGCTGTTTTTTTTTTTTTAAATCACAAAGGCTTGAGATTGTCTTTAAAAATGAAAGGGCACACAAAAAGGAAAACAAAAATTAAAAAAAATAAAAGGCATGCCCTTATTATTAATGGTCCTTTTGATGTGTCAACTGGGCCGGTTATTCAGCCAAAACTTCTCTAAGTGTTGCTGGGAAGGTATTTGGTACTTGTGGTTAACGTCTGTCAGTCTGTTGACTGTAAGTAAGGGAAATTGTCCTAGATAAACTGGGTGGGCCTGAGTCAATCAATGCAAAGGTTTTGAGAGCAGGGCTGTGACTTCCCTAAAGAAAAAATTAAATTGGGTGTGGTGGTGCATGCCCTAAACCCATTCGAAATCACTTATAGAGATTTAACAAGACCCTTTTTTAAAAATCAAAAAGAAATAAAAAGCCAGGTGTGGTGGTGCACACCTAAAAAGACAGTATGGGCTAGATAGCAAGACCCTGTCTCAAAAAAGAAGGAAAGAAGGGAGGAAGGGAGGAAGGAAAGAAAGAAAGAAAAAGAGAGAAAGGGAGAAAGGGAGAGAGGATGGAAGGAAGAAAGAAAAAAAAGAGGACTGACTGGTTCAGGGAGGTAGCTCAGTGGCACAGCACCTACCTGGTAAGTGCAAGGCCCTGAGTTCTATTCCTTGTACTGAAAAAAAAAAAGAGGAAAAACTGGGAATTATAGCTCAGTGGGAAGGTCCTAGTTTCTAATTTTAGTACCACAAACAAACAAAGGAAGAAATTAGTCCTGGGGATTCCAGCCTGTCCTTCCTGATGCCTGCTCTGCAGATTTCAGAGTGCCTGTCAGCTTCAATTTATTACAATCCGTATCTCTTTCTGGTATTGCTTCTGTGGCTTAACCCTGACTGGTAAATGCAATGTTTTTTTTTCTTCTAAGGCTCTTTCACTTATTTATATAACTTTATTCTTTTAAATAAATTGTGCAACTGTTAATTGAGTTCCTTTAAGAATTCATGTGAAAGTTTGACATTTAATTGCATCAAACTTATTAGCTAATTTGGGGGAGAATTTGTTTATTTTGAGCATCAAACTCATGGCCTCATGTATGCTAGGCAAATGCTCCAAGCTACATCCCCAGCCCTTTTTATTTTTATTTATTTTTTAGTTTTGAGATAAGGTCTTGCTACAGTGCTAACTTACCCAGAATGGGCTCAAACTTGTGATCCTCCTGCCTCAGCTTCCCAGAGTTTTGGGATTACAATTATGGGCCACCACACTTAGACTTCATTAATTTCTTAATTCTTTACATTTTTATTGTTAAAATGACAGCATTTTAAATTACATTTTCTTTCCTTTTCAATTAAAAAATTGGAGGGAGGATGTACTAGGGATTGAACCAGACTTTTGAACTGAGTTACATCCCTAGACCTTTAACATTAAAAAAAAAATTAAACCAGGTGTGGTGGCGCACGCCTGTTATCCCAGACCTTGGGAGGCCCAGGTAGAAGGATCACCATGACTTCAATGCCAGCCTGAACTACACAGTGAGACCCTGTCTCAAAAACCTAAAAAATAAATAACAATTTAATTTTAAGCCAAGGTCTTACTAAGTTATTACATTGCCCAGGCTGGACTTGAACTTCTGATCCTCTTGCCTCAGCCTCTCAGGTGAGTGGATTAGCGGCCTGCAACAGCATGACCTGCTGTATTATATTTCTTTCTTTTCTGTGTTTTTGTACCAGAGATCGAACTCAGGACCTTGTGCTTTTGAGGCAGGCATGGTGCTGCTGAGCTAAATCTCCAGTCCATATAATATATTTTCTAATTGGTTATTGATGATGCAGAAGCTTAGTTTTTGTAGGATGACTTTGTGTACAGAAAATGTGCTGAGCTTTCTTATGGATTCTAATTGTTTGTCTCTAAATTCTTATTTTTTTCAACATAGGTGAGAATTGCCTTTGCAAGTAATGATAGCCTTACCTTTCAGAGCTATCATTTTCTATACAACTTATGTTTTGTCCTTTCGTGATATAAAGTAGAAGGAATACAAAATTTTAAAGAAATGGGGATGTCATAGATTTCTCTTCTGCAATGTTACCTATCCTCTCTTCTCTGGGCTGGGAGAATCCAGGAGATGTTTCTTTGACTAAAGCATTGAGAAACACCTTTGTAAAACGAGTACCAGATTTTTAAGATTGGTACACTTTAGGTGTGCATAATGATTACATTTAGCATAGGCAATTTGTACCTGTATGTGATATATCTTTTCTTTCCATTCCCCTCCCCTCTCTTCAACCCCACTTCTCCTTTTACCAGTTTTTAAAAGTAGAGCTATTGTTACTGTTCTTGGTCATTAAAACGCTTTCGTAGATACTCTAAGGTACAGGAGGGCCCGGTATTTCTGGTTTGAATCAATATATCAAATGGTTACTGATCGAGGATTTAAAATCGTCCCATCAACGTTTAAACCAGAATAAGCGATGTCCACCAGGTGGCGCCAAACCTCAACCGGACAGACAAGTTTAGGAAGCACAGCATGGGGACCTCCGGAAGGTCGTCTGCTAGGCTGGGCTCTCTTTAGTCGCTGCGGTTTTTTGGCAGTTGATATTCTAGACTCCACTTATTGCTGTGGTTTTTGCCATTTGAATTTTATCATATTTAGCTAATGGCACAATCCAGCATTGGCCTTCTGACCTATAAATAAGGATTATGATGGCCTTCGTGTTAAAAATAGTTAAATTTTGGAGAATCACAGGCAGTGGAAATATCAAAGCCCACTGAGATTCAAAGATGGAGATTTCTATCTCAGACCCGTTGGACTCACCAGTTCGCTAGAAAGGTCTTAAGAGAATGACAGTGGGTTGTCTTAGGTTAGCCCTGATCACATTCACTTTTCCAGGTGGGGCCTCCAATTTGGGGGAAATCAACTAAAGTCATGGTAACTGGAACATAGCTATTGATCTAGCAAATTATATTTGTTGATCCAATAATTTGCTGAGTCCAATAACCAGAACATTTTTGTCATAGAAGGGAACATAAACGCCCCTTCACTGTCTCTCTACAAGGTTAGGTCAAATCTCTGGTTCTTTGTGATAGAAACCAGTATTACATCATCAACCCACGGCTGTCACACTCAATCCACAGCCCTGATAACATTGTACTCCAGGACCTACCAATCATGAAGCAGGTGTCCCTTGGTTAAGAAAAAGGTATGACAAGAGAGGAGAGAAGAACCCCGTGAAATTACAA